ATGCTCCAAATGTAGCATTTCACTAGTTTCTTCCTCAAATTTAAGTCCAATTTGCTGGTAAAAAGATTCTTCTTCTTGCTAAATGCAGCTTTTGCCATGGCAATCCTGGATTTAATTTCACAAGTACACCTTCCATCATCTGTTAACAAGCTACCCAAATATTTAAAACATTTCACATTCTCCACTTGATGCTACTACTGGATCATATTTGCTGCTAGCAGGGCTGTGCCATTGCTGGAGGAGGTTTAAGTGATGCTGAAGATGTTGTGATGCTACTACTGGATCATATTTGCTGCTAGCAGGGCTGTGTCACCTGCGAAGGCTGCGATTGTACTGTTGTTTGTTATGGGCAAGTCTGCAGTATATACTAAGTATAGCAGAGGCCCCCTCACACTTCCTTCCGGTACACCTGACTTCATCTGATAGCAATCTGAATGAGAATTATTATATTTTATTTGAAAGTGTCTTTAAGCAGGTAGTATGGGCTGTGGAATGTATTTTTAATTTTATATAGCAGTCCAGTATGCCAGACCTTGTCAAACGACTGAGCTATCGACAAGTAAAAAGAAACATTACTATATAAACAAAATGAAGTCAATAAAATAATCCAGTTTGGGAGGGCGCAGTGTTCTTACTAAAAATGGGAGGGATTTATGATGTACGCCGTTGAAAATGGCTCAATGTTGCATCATATACCAAGTTTCATGAAAATTGCTACAGGCGTTCAAGCAATATTAGGTTTTTTCTTCGGCAATGTGAGACGTTGTAATGTTGGTATTACTGATGTGGAGGAAGTAGAGGTATAGCTCCACTATTCTTTACCTCGACACTGGATATCATTAACTTGTAAAACGAATACGATGCAGGAGAGAATGAAATTTGGAAATAGAGGCTTCTATGGCTTGTCTGGTTTAACGCAGGGGGCTGTGTCGCTATGAAATAGGACCATACAGGTCTTTCGTGAAGCCTCTTCAAGTGGCATCCCTCCTGTGGTTTGTGTCTGCCGATGTGTTAAACTGACTCTGTGATGTATGACCCCTAAAATGTACTCTTATTTTTATAAGAGAGGGGTAGCATTACGTACCAATTGCTATAACATAAAAGAACACTACATTTTGCCAGCACAGTGTATTTCTGTGTTCCGTATGGTTCTCTCAATAAACAGCAGCTCTTCCCCTAAACAGCATGAGCCGGTTGGGCTTTGTAGCGGAGATGTAATATTTCCTGTGAGGTACGGACTGGGTGTGTGTGTTCCGTACGGTTCTCACAATAAACAGCGACTGTTTCCCTATACAGCATTAACCGGTTGGGCTTTGTAACGGAGACGTAATGTTTCCTGTGAGGTACGGACTGGGTCTGTGTGTTCCGTATGGTTCTCACAATAAACAGCGACTGTTTCCTTAAACAGCATTAACCGGTTGGGCTTTGTAGCGGACACGTAATGTTTCCTGTGAGGTACGGACTGGATCTGTGTGTTCCATACGGTTCTCACAATAAACAGCGACTGTTTCCTTAAACAGCATGAACCGGTTGGGCTTTGTAGCGGAGATGTAATGTTTCCTGTGAGGTACGGACTGGATCTGTGTGTTCCGTACGGTTCTCACAATAAACAGCGACTATTTCCTTAAACAGCATGAACCGGTTGGGTTTTGTAGCGGAGACATAATGTGTTCCTGTCAGGTACGGACTGAATTCCTAAATATTATTTAGTCTGAGAGAGTGAAATGCGGTCACGAATCCCGCGGGACTTGAACCTGAGAATTACTGCGCTGACGAGGACCAACAACAATTGTAAACGGCAGACCCGTCCTCTCATCATAGAGGATGTTACATAAGGGCTATAACAGCAAGTGTTCAGTTGAAAAAGAATTATTGGTCGTGATTCTCAAGGGGCTTGACGCCAAGACGAACTGATTGGCGGTAAACCGCTAGTTGTAAAGTAACTCTGACTCTGACGCTGACTCAGACTTAAGACCCATTTTCTGAACGCACCCTGCTCCAGAAGCTTTGTTTTCTTCACTTCCCAAAACTTTACCGTTATTCAACATATCTTCTTCTGAAGGACTAGTGTGTACTGCCTGGGAACCTTCAAAGATGGAAATATTTTCTCTTCACGTATACCAGGCATGTCCAACTTCAAACAGATTGCGATCGACTTTTTAGTGTCAAAACTGCCAGTGATCTACCACCCCCTCCCATCGTCGTACCTCGCTTTAAGCAAAAATATTGGTCAAAATAACACGACACATGATGTTTGCTGTAAAAGCAACCAGTAACCGGGCTGTCTCTGATGTCTGTAGATTCATCCAGTTGGAGGGAGAAAGCAACACAACTGCAAACAGCTTTCGACAACTGTTCAGTTAAGTTTCCACACATCATTTTTATTTAATCACACGTTGTGTCGATCACTCTTGCATCAGAACACACGCGGCTGACGAGTGATGAAATAAAAAGTTTACGTGATAAGGACAGAGTAGGGACTTCCCCACAGTTCACTTAACACAGGTGTAAAGCAATTTTCACGTAAGCTACATAAGAACAAAAAAATAGGAATGACTAATACTATTTTCCCCTCAAAATCTGAATATATTCATATAATATTACAAGTGAATCTACATGCTTTCCGCTTATAATTTCCTTATAGGCCTATGAGATCGACCAAAATTCGTCCCGCGATCGACGCATTGGACATGCCAGACGTATACAATACTCACCAATACACTATTTTCTTCAGGCACGCCGCATGCTATAGAAGATTAGAGCTCTCACCTGAACTCGAGCCTCACTTAGGTTGACACGCCTAGCCAGCTCCTCCCTGACGAAGGCGTCGGGGTAGTGTGTTCTTTCGAACACTCTCTCCAGTGCGGTGAGCTGGCCCGTTGTGAACGTAGTTCTGTTCCGACGGGGCTTCTTCCTGCCGCGTTCATCGCCCTCCAGAACGTAGTCCTCTTCTGCAAACGGAGAGTCCGTGGTCAGCAAGCGTGGTACCTCTAGCACATATTGAGTAGGTGAAGTTGCCCCTGTGCTTAACTAACTAAGCACAACACCATGAAGGCGTATGGGGGTGGATGTATAGATTCACGTAATCTTTACCTCGGCATGTGCCGGAAGTGAGTGGTCAGCTTCACGTTCTGGCCATTTTACCCCAGAAGAAATGTTCTCGGAGGATTGGTGGGCGTGGACTACGCGGAGAAGAGAAAATTCTTGGGACTCGAGCTCGGACCCCTCGGCCGCCCAGCCCTGTAGCCAGTCACTGTACCGACTGAGCTACCCCAGAATCTGGGGGATGAGATGGGCAGAGCATGCAGGACGCGTGGGGGGAGGAGATGCAGACGTGACAGTGAGAACTGTTGTTGCTGACGTGAAGACGGTTTCGAGTTTCCCAGACGGTTGCGACGGCGTGACGGACGCCTGACAGGGCGCCAGCCGCGCCGTCAGTTACAGAGACTTTCCCGTTGCGGGCTGCTGCGGCTGGCAGTGCCGAGCCCTGTACGGGTCTGGCGCGCTGCTGTGTTGCAATAAATTTGTCTCTGTGCTGAACTGATTAAGCAAACACCATCATTGAACTCGGCACTAAAGTGAGGTGAGTGGTCAGCTTTACCTCCTGAGGAAGAGGCCCATGTAACCTATTGATTAGGAGGCTGTGTGGGACCCCAGAGCCGGTTTGGACACTGTGGAGAAGAGAAATAATGTTCTTTCACCTGCTGGGAATCGAACCCTTGTCTTCTCGTCTGCTGCCTAAAAACTCTAATTTTGTCTGTGGTTCTGTATGGCTGTGAAAATCGCTCTCTGACATTAAGGGAGGAACATAGACTAAGGGTGTTTGAGAACAGAGTGTCGAGGAGAATATTTGGACCTAAGAGAGATGAAGTCACAGGAGGTTAGAGAAAACTGCACAATGAGGAGCTTCATAACTTGTACTCTTCTTCAAGTATAATTAGAGTGATCAAGTCAAGGAGGATGAGGTGGATAGGGCACGTAGCACGAATGGACAAGAATGGGAATCCATATAGGATTTTTCTGATAAAGCCAGAAGGAAAGAGACCACTATGAAGACCAAGACGTAGATGTGCGGATAATATTAAAATGGAATTTAGAGAGAGAGTATCAGGTGGTATGGTCTGGATTGATCTGGTTCAGGATAGGGACAAGTGGGGTGCTCTAGTGAACACGGTAGCGAACCTTCGGGTTCCATAAAACGTTGAGAGTTCTTGAGTAGCTGCTCAACTGGCAGATTTTCAAGAACGAGCAGCCGTCACGGATTTGTCAGAAGACTGCGCGGTAATACCAGACAATATTGCCCGGCTGTAGGACACAGCCCATTTTCGTAGACATGGCCGTGCTCAGAAAAATGCGCAGTGGATTTGGTCGAGTCCACTCACTGAGATGAAACGTCTGTAACGGTGTGCGTCACCCTCCCTCCCACAATGCAGCTGCAACCAGTGTTCCGCTAGACGAATACCGGAATAGAATTCCTATCTGTTCACTATTCACAAACCTGAAGTAAGAATGAAATAATGAAGTTGTGTTTCAACTTAATTCAGCATCACGTATGGCGGATTGGAGGTATAGCGCCACGTATTCGTAACTTAGGCACTAGATGGAGCTGAGCGGTCAGCTTCAGACCCCGTCCACTTTAACCCCTGGCAATGAGGCTCCTGGTACCTGGGTGGTCCCCAGGGCCGGTCTGGAGGCTGTTTTTTATATTTATTTTGCAGCTTATTTAACGACGCTGCTAGTTGCTCAGCGTTCAATCGTAGGATAAATGTAAGTAATTAATTGGAAAGGATGTGTATGGGAGAACCAGGCATTCGTTTGGAGAGACCGAAGAAAAAAGCGAGAATTCTGTCAGGATAGCCGGTGCCCCCGGCTGAGATTCGAACCCACAACCTCCAGGATACAAGTCAGAATGGCTTGCCGCTTGAACGTGTTACCCAATTCTGAACACTGCGGGTAATAAAAACGTATCTGTCGGGAATCGAATCCTGATTATCGCACTGTTCAGCTTTGGCCTGGTCACTGCAATTTTAATTTATTTTGATGCATTTTTGTCTACTTATCGTATTTACGCATGTATAGGCCGCACATTTTTTGTCAAAAATTCAAGAGGAAAACTGGGGTGCGGCTTATATTCGAAATATTCGAAATCACACTTCATTTAAAAAAAATATATTCATAATTAGTAATACAGGGTGCAATACTCCTGAAATAATACTCCAAGAAAATTATTTTTTCTATAATTTGTCTGAAGATTGTGCTGCAGCCTATACACGCACGCGGCCTATACATGCGTAAATGCGGTACTTCGAAAGAAAGTAATTTGAGGCTTATGAGATCACCTTGCTATCTGCCTGTCTCTGTGTACACCCCAGTCGTTGCTAGGCAACGGCTTGGTATACACGTTCCCGTTGCAACTAATACACACGCAACAGTAGAAGAAATGCTATAATCGTCGTTTTCTATGCTGTCAAATGTATATAATCCCATATCGAACGGTTTGGTCTCCCAAGTGATGTGTTATTCTTGAAGTTTTTAGTTGAAAATATTATCTTGAAAGAAAGAGACCACTAGGAAGACTCTGACGAAGACGGTAGAATAATATTTAAATGGATATTGGAGAAATAAGTTGTGTGGAGTGGATTCATCTGGCTCCGGATTAAGAGAGACTTGTGGCAGGCTCTCGTAGACACGGTTACGAGTTACAACCCAATGCTGCCAGTTCCTTGAGTGGCTGAGCAACTAGTAGCTTCTCAAGATCACAGCTCCGTCGAGTTCGTTAGGTCTGCTCGCCCCTGTCATACGGGAGAAACGACGTTTTGGACACTGGGCGTTCCGAACAGGGGCTGCATTGTGCCGAGCCCGCTACCCCCCTCCCCCCCATTTCCACGTGTGTCTGCAGACGAAACCGAGAAGTCTGTCTGCAGCAGCCGCCCACAGCGGTGGCTTTGTGTACCCAGTGTCCACGGTACGAGGGAGGGCTGAAACACGATGGTAACTATATGTACCACACGCTTTAACATACAAGAACTCTGCATTCTGCCCACTCAGTGTATTTGTGTGTTCCGTATGGTTCTCACAATACTGAGCGACTGTTTCCCTAAACAGCATTGAACAACAAAGTATGTGTCCTCCGCCTCCTCACCCGAAGACGGAAGCAGATCCAGTTTCCGAAACATTCTGTTCTCAACAAAACCGGACGATGGACAGAGTTCAAGAAAAATCACAGTAATCCTCAAGCAATTAGTTTCTGACGTTCAATAGTACATGTTTCCTCTCCAGGACACTAGTCAGTAGACAAAATTCATTTTCCTGAAGCTGGAACAGTGTCGTTAAATAAGCTGTGACTGTCAAGAACAAGCAGAGCGTTGCCGATTTCATGTTAGAGGCAGTTCAGGTTACAAACCCGTTTAGACACATCAACCTTTCCTTTCCGTTAAAACGGAAATTAATTTCTGCAGAACTTTGGTTCAAGTCGTTACTGTTATTATTGTTATTATTATTATTATTATTATTATTGGAGGGGGTGAGTATCCCCATGCACCGCGACCAGTGGTCTATTGTACGTCCCCCTGTGATATTCTACCAGTCTCTGTACCCTACCGATATTGGTGCGTGCCATCAGTCCCGACTCAGCCAGCGAGTTCGGCCTCTACTGGCTCAGCGGTATCTAGATGCCTCCCCCATCTACCAAAGGCGTTAGAGACTATTGTTGGGTGGGAAATGTCCTTATAATTTGGCTCAGAGGCCTCCTTGAGACGTGAGGTTCTTTTACGTGCCGTAAAGCTACGACACGGGACCCTCCCTCCCGGAGGACTTGTTCCCTGAATTTTTCCGCCCTTAAAAATTCCACGACCTCCGCCGGGTTTGAACCCGCGTACCTTGAGTCATGAGGTGGGAACGTTACCCCTAGACTACGGAGGCCGCTAAGTCGTGACTGTTAATTAGCAGCTATCTGAGCTGATATGTAATAACTTAAGTTGTATTTTCTATGTTGGTAACACGTCGAGAGTGATAACTACTCTTCTGTTAGTGTTCTGGTGCAAGGCCTCACAAGTGTGGAGTTTTTAATATATTGTGACATGACGCCTGAAAGCCGGAATAGTCCATTGCTAGACAACGGTTTTGTAAACATAATCTGGAGATTACACAATCAACAGACGGACCTCCTCATAAAGCTTAATCAACTCCGTCCAGTGTGGCTGATAAAATGTTTTTTTCTTTTTGCTTTTTAAACTTTTATCCTTGATATATTTCGGTCTTATAGACCATTTTCAGAAAGATATCAATACAATTAGAAATGACTATATTATTATTATTATTATTATTACTATAACAACACGGCGCGCCCAGAACAACAGCACGACACATAGGAATCCTATTTTCCAAACGACGGAACCATAAGGCGGTAGGTAGACACTTGACTTCCTTCAAAGAGAGGAAATGTAAAACGGACACGAAACAATTTGGTTTTAAAAAATTAACAAAGTCTTTTTAAGCATACTAATTGCAATTTATAAATATTTTAACTGATTATTACACCCCGCTGTAGTTGTTAAAATATTAGATTTTGTATTCATTGTATTATGATAACATTATATGTGTATTAATATTCACAAAATACATTGTAATAGTGGTTTCTAATTGTATTGATGTCCTTCTGAAGATGGTCTGTAGGACCGAAACATGTCAAGGATAAAAGATTAAAAAGGGAAAAAGAAACATTTATCAGTCACACTGGACGAAGCTGATAACCTTTATAATATTGCTAGTGTGACGGACCAGGATGAACCAAATCAGGTGGACCTCCGTTGCTACGTTTCGCAAGCAATGGACAAGACACCAGTAATAACAGAAAGACAATTAACTTTCGAGGCTGGGCCTCTCTTTGGTCCCCCGAGTTTATAAAACAGAGTTCATTCTTGGATTCAAGTCAGTCCGAGATTGATCCGTAAGAGAATTCACAAGTTGAGTGTTCAGCTGTGGACTGTTAACCAGCGGACACCGGAAGCTGAAGGAGTTACCGATTCGTAAATCAGAACCAAGCCAGTTACATTGGAAGAGAAGACACTCGTGGTCCAGTAAGGAATGGAGCTTGTCTTAGGCAGTCATTGGTTGTAATTGTAATAGAAGTGCCAATAAATCCAATCATCTAATCGAAAACCCGTTATTATTAGTCACGTAAACCCCGCGTACGTGACAGTATTTTAAATATTTTGTCTTAGCTCTCGCAAATGGTTTGTGCAGTGCTTGGCTTGTGTACCATATCTTAGTGCTGGTACAGGTGTCCGGAGATACGGACTGGCTCTATCGTTTGGGCCAAACTGACTAGGTTTTAACTGAAGACAGACACAGAATCGTCTCCGAAACGTCATGTGCTTTAAATAAAAACGGGATGATGTGTAATGTCCAGGAACACAATCATTTTACGTACCATCATCTCAAACTTTTAGATCTTATGTAAATAAAGCTATTTATGCCAAGAAAATTCGGAGTTATTGTGACGAATTTTCGAGAGAGGGAAAGAATTTGATCTGTTATATAAATTGTATAATTGAGCGGGGGGGGGGTATCTTGCCGCTGGGAGTGGCGCAGTGTGAATGTCGACAAGATGGCCCGCAAGGTCAGGACTCCCTGCCGCTCTGCTAAGTGGCCGCATCTCTTTAGAATGCTTGACACAAACCAGAGCGTGTCCCTGGGCTTTGCTTTACAAGGCAAAGAAGCCGACAGACTCCTAACTTCTTGCTGTCCCGAATGGGACAAGAACAGCATTGAGTGGACCCTACACGTATGCGCTTTAGCAAAACCATTCCATGCAGACGAAAATGAGCTCAAGTAGCTGAGTCCGAGCAGTCGGTGTAGCGACTACTCTTCGTGATGGACGACCGAGGAATTGGGGGTTCGATTCCCGGCATGGATAAAAGATTTTTATCTTAGTCATAGCGCTCAACCTCATAGCCAATGGGTAGAGTGGGAACATTTCTCAGCGGTAAAAGCGGCAGGGGCGTGAAGTTGACCACTCACCTCCAACTACTGCAGAAGTTAAGATTGGTGGAGCCATACCTCCACTCCCACACAAGTTTTCATGACGTGGTTCTTAATTAATTAAGTAGAGAGACAATTTTACCTTTCTTAACGTTACCATGTTATTAGAGAATGTACCACATTGATAAGCTGACAGTTTCTTATTTTGCCAAGAATTACTAGCAATTGATGGAAGCCGGGGATTTATTGCCGTGAAGAACCCCTTCATTTGTCCCTATCGTAGCTACAGTAATATTGTCACGATTTAGGGGCGAGGCTCTTGACAGGGTGCGGATTGGGTAATTGGATTGATTGACCACTTATACACGCGACTTGGAATTACAAGCAATTACAGCGCCACCGCTAATCTCTATAATTCACAAGTAATCACAGCACCCGCTAAGCCTTTTCCACCCAGCTATGGGTCAAATGGCCGTTTCCTAGCAACCGCTTCTAACGGTGAAGATTCTTCGGCTTCACGCGCTCAAGTCATCTCTTCAAAGACTCCAGTACAGAACACTAACAACACTGTCATTCGCTTATAACATCTCGGCACGGAACACGTAGAGACACCCCGTTTCCAATAGTAACTCTATTATTGCGTGTGTATTCCTTGCCCTTGGAATCGCTTAGCAACGTGTTTATATACCATAATATAGTTCACACCTTCAATTCTATGCTTTTAAAGTCAAATTTTAATATTATCCTCGCATCTATGCCTAGATCTTCCAAGAGATCTATTAACTTCAGGGTTTCCTACCAAAATTTTGTGTCCACCTGTTCTCGCTCTTCCTGCAATCCCTGCGCATCTCGTCCTGCGCAATGAGACCACTCCAGTTCCGCGGATGAATACAAGTTATGAAGCTCTTCATTATGCGATTTTCCCAGGCATCTCTTTGATCCAAACATTCCCCTCAGCACCCTGTTCTCAGACGCGCTTTTTGCCTGTACTTCCCCTAACACGAGAGACACCCCTAAAAACATAAAGTAAAATTGTAGTTCCATGTGATTTTGTCGTTACGTTTTTAGACAGCAATCGGGACGAGAAAAGGTTCTGATCCGAATAACAGCATCATTCGGATACATTTAATTTCGTGCTCTGAAGAAATGGAATTCATTCTTTGTAGGATTTCATGTTCTCACAGTTGTGGCTATGAAGAGTTTTGTCTTGTGGGGATAGGGGCACTGTGCTACAAGCCGGGAGGTTGCGGGTTCGATTCCCGGTCATTGTTTCTTTTCTTTTGACCTATTTCGTTCAGCCGCACCATGGCAGTGTTCTGTTGTGCTTTTCTGGGGCGGGACAAAAGGGCTCAACACGGAGGATATTCATAAAGAAATGTTTCCTGTTTACGGCGGCAAGTGCTTGTTGCGTGAAGCGGTTCACAACAGTGGCAAACGCTGTGCTGATGACGAAGAGGTTGAAACGGAGGTGCCGAAGTCAAAAAGACTTCTATGCTGCGGGTTTCGGCGCACTGGTAAAGAAGATATATCGAGAAATAAATGTTTTCTTTTCGATCCGAATATCACATGTTTTACGTTTTATATTTAATTGTGATCTATTTACTGACTCTCCCACGTATTTATGTAGGAGAAGGGTACTACACTAATGACGCGGATATGATAAAGGTCCTTACACTAACGGCACAAATAGTAGAAGGGTACCCCACTAATGACGCAAATACGATAAAACGCCCTGCACTAATGACGCGAATAGCAGAAGGATATTATATTAGTGACGCGTATAGGGCACTACTCTAAAAACGGAGATAGACTATTCCACTAATGAAGCGAAGAGGATAAGGGGCCCTACACTAGCGACACAAATAGGAGACGGGTACCAAACTGAAAATAGGGCCCTACACTAACGACACAAATAGCAAATAGGTACTACACTGAAAATAAGACCCTACACTAATGTCACAATTATGAGACGGATATTACACTGAATAAAGGGCCCCTACATTAATGGCACAAATGGGATATGGGTACTACAATGAAAAAAGACCCTACACTAATTACATAAATAGGGGACGGGTACTACACTGAATATAGGGCCCTGCAATAACGACACAATTAGGGGACGGGTACTGCACTGACTACAAGGCCCTGAAATATAGACACACATAGCAGAAGCGTACTACATTGAATAAAGGTCCCTACGCTAACGACACAAATAGGAGACCTGTTTTACACTGAATACAGGGCCATGCAATAACGTCACAAATAGGACACGCGTACTACACTGAATATAGGGCCATACACTAGCGACACAAATAGGAGACGGGTACTGAACTGAAAATAAGGCCCTACACTAATGAACCAAATATGAAATGGGTACTACACTGAATATAGGGCTCTACACTAAAGACACAAATTTGAGTCGGGTACTACACTGAATATAGGGCTCTACACTAACGACACAAATGGGAAATGGGTACTACAATGAAAATAAGGCCATACACTAATGACACAAATATGAGACAGGTACTACACTTAATACAAGGCCCTACTCTAACGACACAAATATGAAATGTGTACTACGCTGGATATAGGGTCCTACACTAACGGCTTAAATATGAGATCTGTACTACACTGAATATAGGGCCCTACAGTAAAGAAACAAATTCGAGATCGGTACTACACTGAATATAGGGCCCTACACTAACGACACAAATAGGGGACGGGTACTACACTGAATACAGGGCCCTGCAATAACGACACAAATAGGGAACCGGTACTACACTGAATATGGGGCCCTGCAATAACGAAACAAAAAAGGAGACGCGTACTACACTGATTATAGGGCCCTACACTTACGACAGAATTAGGAGACGCGTACTACACTGAATATAGGGACATACACTAACGACACGAATAGGGAAAGAGTACTACACTGAATATAGTACCCTACACAAACGACACGGATACTACATTAAATGAAAGGCCCAAGAAAGCGAACGTACCTTCACTTCTGTCCGTGTCGAGGCCGCGCTTGGCCCCCGCGGGGGTAAGCTCCTCCAATTCCAGCAGACTGCTCACAGAGAAGCGTCGCGAATTCTCCGTCGCGGTGAAGCTCACGAGGTCCGACACCGGCGCCGAAGTCGACGAGGTGTTGGGCATTGGGAACACCATCGGGGTGGACTGCAGGACGCCCGAGGACGCCGTGACCAGCATTCGTCCGTAGCTCATGGTGTTCAGGACTTTAGGGGCCCATAACTGCGGTGCGTGGTCCACCTTCTTAAGCAGTTTGTTGCAATCGGCGTGTTTCTTGTTCAGTTGCAAGCAGTGTAAGCTTAAGCCGACTGATGATCTACTTCAGACATTATACGGTATGCTTGCTGACGTATCGACTAATGTAACGTAATTACGTGTCTATTTCTATCGAGCAGACCTAATTTACAGAAGCACCGAACAGCCATATGTCTTGTCGAGTCTTGTAGTTTGCTGCGATAAATTCAAATTTTAGAAATTACAAATTACAAATAATGAAAAAAAAATTATTAAAATGACTTTAGAACAAATAGCCAGCGACGGAAGTAATGGTGTTTTCTTTGGGACATTCCTCATTTAATTGGAAGTGATCGCGTTTTTTTTTTT